TTCTTATTAATATTCCCAAAGATATGCCGACTTTCCTATGAATTAATGCGATACAACCAATTGGACGCCTCATTGCAATACCGATCCCTAGACGTGCCCTTTCATTATCACCACTCATTGACTCCCATCCGAACTGCTATTTATAATCATCGGTCAAAATCTGAGGAACAATGGGATCTAAGAATTGGCGATCATTTTTACGAAAAGGTGGTGGGGCAATTTACTGAATGGTTTGATCAGTCAATTAACGGCAGGGGTTGGGACTCCTATTTCTATGCCTCCAATTCATCGACACAACAAAGTTCTTATAAATTATACCCTGTTTATAAAGTTTTTGATGACATTGAGTTGGTCTAGATTCTCAAGTACTACTTAATAAACTTAATTTGTGCATTAATTGTACAAATATAGTCACAATTAATAGTAACACAAACAATTTAGTATGCACATAAAAGTGCCCCACAAAATGACCAATTACCAATTGTACAAAAAAGCACATAATTATGACAATACTGTTCGTAAATGAACCCGGCAACAAATATGATTAACAAAACCATACATACGGTACTGTATATCATGTATTGTTTTTATTTTCATACAATAAACTTTACGCGACGTATCAAATAAAATATCATTTATTGTGTAATTAAAAAAATACATTAATATATTTGTTACGCATTGCCTTTACAGTACATTTATACGGTATATCATTATCAAAAACAAATCAATTCATAACCAAACATTTAATTATAATAATGAGAATTATTTTTTAAAAATCAATTATAAAAACCGATCCACTTTTAACGGGCAAACCCGATGGGGGCACCAGTACTTCAAGCGCCGGGATATCTCTCCACAATCATCGCGTGTCCCTTAAAATTGGTGTCAGAAATAAGGCATTTAAGACGTTTGTCAGGAACATATACTACTGGCCGGACAGCCCTTCAATACGGACGACCAGTCCTGGCATTCCTGGCCTTTACTGTTCGCACCCGAAGCCGGCGTTCAAAATGAAAACCAAAACTCGAAGCGACACGTGCGGCGGCGAGTTTGTGTGCGATTGGAACGGTTGCGCCAAACGGTTCCGACTGCAGCGGACACTCGCACAGCACCGGCAGTTCCACTCGACTCAACCCACGCGCCAGTGTCTCATCGACGGCTGTCTCGAGACGTTTTTCACAGCTAAACAACTGCGACGCCATATATCCAAGAAACACATACAAAACTACCGGTGCGATCGGTGCGCGTACGTGGGTGCCACTAAACGGGAGGTCAGCAAACATCAGGTGTGTCACGCCGAACGGCTGTTCGCGTGCGGTCTCAGCGGTTGCGAACAGCAGTTCAAGACGGATGAGCGCATGCGTCAGCATCAGTTCCGGCAACACCCGGACGAGTTCCCGGAGCTGCCGTGGCTGGAGTGCCCGCACGAGGGCTGTCCCTTCGAGACCAAGAGCGCCAAGAATATGACGCACCACTCGTACAGCCATCAGATGAAGTACGGGTGCGACGATTGTGGCAAACGGTTCGCCCACCAGTCGGCGCTTACGACCCACCGGCGCTCGCACGACGACTCTCTGAAGATCCCGTGCGAATGGCACGCATGCGAGCGCCTGTTCACCACCGATATCGAGATGCGGCGCCATATGAACACACACTCGGCTGAGATCACTTACCGGTGCCATTTTGTCGACTGCGGCAAAACGTATCACAACTACAGCTCGTTTCTGTGGCATAAGCGCCGGCATCAGCTCATGGAGAAGTATAGGTGCCATTGGCCCGCCTGCGACTACCAGACCACCAATCAGGTGATGTTCGACAACCACGTGACCAAACACGACAGTACCGGCGCTGACTACGAGTGCGACTACGAGGGCTGCGGTAAGCGGTACTCACGTAAAGACCATTTGGATGAACACAAAGAGAAACACATGGGTCTGACGTACCGGTGCGACGTGGAGGGCTGCGTCGCTGTATTCCCGAGTCGTTCGTACTTTTTGAAACACAAGACCCGAACCCACGGCACGAAATACCGGTGCGAACGGGACGGGTGTGAGTACGCCACCGGAGATAAGAATACACTGAACCTACACCTCAAGACACACAATGAGTTGCAGTACAAGTGTCCGCTCGACTGCGGCAAAGAGTTTAAGACCAGTAAACAGTTGAGTGATCATCAGCTGAGACTACATCCCGAGGCGTTCCCCGACAGACCATGGCTTGAGTGCGCGCGACCTGACTGTGGATATAAGACTAAAATGGAGGGCGACTTTAGCCGCCATGTCGTCAAACACACGGATAAGTACGCGTGCAGTGAGTGCGACAAGAGGTACGGCCGCGAGTCGGAGCTCCAACACCACATGCGCTCGCACGACGACACACTGAAGTACCGGTGCCAGTGGCCCGGCTGTGATCGGCTGTTCACGTCGCAGACTAATTATAAGTACCATATGAACGGTCATACGGGAGAGACGGTGTACGCGTGCGAGTGGGAGGGCTGTGGAAAGACATCACTCAGTCTGAAGGCTATTAAGAATCATATGTCCAAAGAGCATAAGGGTTAGGGACCGCCCGGTGCCCGTAGGTCTACAGTATGCTGTTGTGAGTGGACATGTGAATAATTATTAGGTTTAATTAGGTTTTATTGTACAGTAATATAACTTTAAATTTATATTTGATTACGAAATTAATGATAATAATTATTATATTTTTTTAACTTTACCTGTACAGTATATGAAATAACAAAATGCCTGTAAAATAAACTGAATGTAGAAGCATATTGTGCTTAATTACACACTGTTTTTGTCATTAAATCTTATTAAATTTTTGTTTGCAATTAAATTAGATAACAATATTTATTTTTTGTTCCTGAATATACTAGCAGTGTAATGTTATGAATTGGTACGGCTATACTTCGAGTACTATGAGTGCAACCTTTCAATGTTTTATAAAGTGTTTGATCAATGTCAAATTTTAAAGTTAATTAGTTTTATAAATATAGGAAGTTAGTCTATTAAAAAACTAAAGTATTTATGATAAATGTTTTAATTAATTAATTTTGTTTATGAAATGCAATTGATATAATGAATTACAAACATAGGATTCAATCATTTCTTTGGTTATATTTTTGTGTCACTTTTGTGTTATTAGTATATCTTGTGATTCAAAGAATTGAAAATGAAAAAATTACAAATTTCTGTAGATTTCAAATAATGAAATGTCGCTCAAAAGTTTGTAAATATAATTCTGTGAACTGTGTTTGCAATAAACACCAAATTAATGGTAATTATCATTTTAATTGCATCTATTTTGTACTAAAATTAGATGATATAATTTTTATAATAGTTAAAATGCTAGACATTATTATATTTTCTAATTTTCAGTCCCTTTAGAGTCTGTGAAACATTTACGACGAGCCCATACAGCAGCTCAAGAAATATTCAATTATTTGTCCATAACTTTGAATAAAACAGTTTCTGTGGACAATGAAACCAAAACTAAAATCTTAACACAAGTGAGTGATATGAAAAAGTATGTATCATCAAGAATATTTTAAAAATTATATTAAAATAATAAATGCTTGCAAATTAGTATAATACAAATGGAAGTACAAAATGCGAGTCAAATACTTGGATTAAATAACTATAAAAATGATAAACTTAGGCAAATATCGCAACAAATTTACTCAAAAGTGGATAAACTTCAGAATCCAGAGAAAAGTCTTTGCAGTAATATTTCAAAACTTGTTTGCAGTCTCAATGTCGGGTTTGGGTTTGCATCGGGAATACATGAGATCTTATGGTGTCTATTGTCTGCCTATTATAGCAATCAAACAGTTGTTATGATCCCGGAGTACTCACTATATTTCGGTGGTAAAGAGCACTGGAATGATATCTTTATTCCGTTGAGTACTTCATGTGATTATAAAAATTTAACTCAAGATGAGCGCAATGTTACCGAAATACCCAATAATATAATTTATAGAAAACTTATGAATCAATTGCCGAAACAATTTGGTAGAGATTTGATGTCTCTGGTGGACAGTCCTAACTCATGGTTTCACTCGCAGTTCACGGGATATATATTGAGACCACAACCAAGACTTCAGAGATTTCTCAATGATTTTAAGAAACAAATTAATTACAGACACCCTATTGTAGGCATTCATGTGCGACGGACTGATAAAATAAGTAATGGAGAAGCACTTTATCATCCAATTTCCGATTATATGGTTTCAGTCAAAGACTATTTCGATAAACTAGAGCTCACACGACAAGTATCCCAAAGACTAGTCTATGTAGCGTCCGATGATCCGTCAGTTTTGCCTCAATTTATAAACGATTATCCAAACTATGAATTCATTGGAAGTACTTCCATCTCGAAGTTGGCTTTCAATGACACCACGAGATATTCAAATGAATCCCTTTGGGGAGTACTCGCGGATATATTCCTGTTATCGGAAACCGATTATATTGTTTGTACCTTCAGTTCAGCCGTAAGTTTATAATTAGTTTTAATATAAGAATATTATTTATATATTGATTTTTCAAAGGTATGCCGACTTTCCTATGAATTAATGCGATACAGCCAATTGGACGCCTCATTGCAATACCGATCCCTAGACGTGCCCTTTCATTATCACCACTCATTGACTCCCATCCGGACTGCTGTTTACAACCATCGGTCAAAATCTGAAGATCAATGGGATCTAAGAATTGGTGATCATTTCTACGAAAAGGTGGTGGGTCAATTTACTGAATGGTTTGATCAGTCAATTAATGGCAGGGGTTGGAACTCATATTTCTATGCCTCCAATTCATCGACACAACAAAGTTCTTATAAATTATACCCTGTTTATAAAGTTTTTGATGACATTGAGTTGGTCTAGATTCTCAAGTACTACTTAATAAACTGAATTTGTGCATTACCTGTACAAATATAGTCACAATTAATAGTAACACAAACAATTTAGTATGCACACAAAAGTACTGCTCATAAATGAACATGGCAACAAATATGATTAACAAAACCATACATACGGTACTGTATATAATATATTGTTTGTATTTTCGTACAAAAAACTTTACTCGACGTATCAAATAAAATATCATTTATTGTGTAATTAAAAAAATACATTAATATAATATTTGTTACGCATTGCATTTACAGTACATTTATACGGTATATCATTATCAAAAACAAATCAATTCATAACCAAACATTTAATTATAATAATGAGTAAATTATTTTTTTAAAAATCAATTATAAAAACGGATCCACTTTTAACGGGCAAACCCGATGGGGGCACCAGTACTCAAGCGCCGGGATATCTCTCCACAATCATCGCGTGTCCCTTAAAATTGGTGTCAAAAATAAGGCATTAAGACGTTTGTCAGGAACATATACTACTGGCCGGACAGCCCTTCAATACGGACGACCAGTCCTGGCATTCCTGGCCTTTACTGTTCGCACCCGAAGCCGGCGTTCAAAATGAAAACCAAAACTCGTTTCGCAAATCAATTGCGAAACCAATTCATTGAACATTACTTTCGGTTGCGTTTCAAACACACCATTAAATACATGTAAAACACTCTCACCTATAGTACATTAATCGCCATTTCACTAAACAATACTAAATAATAGCTAATTATTACATAAATTCAGTTATTATTTAACATAAAGTACACTACAATAAACCTGTGATTACTATAATATACAGGTAGTAAACAATACCCCGATTATACTAACCCTAATATACTGTACAGTAATCGCGAGTTCACTAAACACTACCAAAAGAACTGCTAATTATTATACCGTAATAATGAATATAGCATTCAATATCCACTACTAGTCCACTATACCCCGGGTGTGTTCACTGTATTTAATGGTCCCAAAAAACATCACAAAACAGGTAATAAAAACTCGTGAATACCAGTCCTCCTGCGGCACAGGCGGCCACCAAACCGAACCGTCCGTTCTCTTTGATGAGCCGATTGGCGGCAGTCGTCACCAGTCGTACGCCAGTGGCGCCAAAGGGGTGTCCGATGGATAGGGAACCCCCCCATAGGTTGAACTTCGAGAGGTCAGGGGCGCCGAACTTCGCGGACCTTTTCATATACTCTTTGGCGAACCAATCGCTGTCCAAAGCCTTCAGATTTGCCAATATCTGGCCGGCGAAGGCCTCGTGAAACTCGAACACATCCACGTCTTTCAGGGTTAGGCCCGCCTATGGGTCCGATGAGGGGAAAGGGATGTAAGAAAGTATGCAATCAATAAATTGGTTAATCAAATAAATTAATTTCAAAATTAAATACACGATTAATCCCTAAAATTGTTTATAATACCGGGTACTATTTATTATGGTATAAGTCTAAGGTATATGATATAAAGCTAAACACTTATAAATTTTACTAAATCTTACCGGTACTAAAAATACCATAAAAAACTACTGGTGCCTACACTACACTTCAACTGTTGTTCAGTATTATAATTCATACGTAATAACCGTATATTGTACCTAAATTGCATTCAAAAAATACTAATCATTATAATGAATACTAAATAATAGCATTCACTATACACTACTGCAATAGTATTTGCGTAATACTGTACAGTACTACGGGTATCACCAAGATAGCATAACATAATACCAATCGCTGATTTCCAGTTTTAATGCATTCATTAGCTACTAATGAAAACACAATTAAAATAACTAACAAAACAATACTTTTAAAAACCACTAATAATCACAACACTATTACCCCATAACTATAACACTAATCAAAATGCAATCCAAACCCCCATAAAGTCAATCCTAAAACACTATCATCTCATACACTTCACCCAACCCCCCATACCCTACCCTAACCCAACCATTATACCTTCTCGAGTATGCGAGGGGTGGCGTACGCCGGGCCCAGTAGTAGCTGATCCTTGGGGTCCTGCGAGACGTATAGGAATTGCCGCAAATAGGCCTTCGGTTTGAGACCCATTTGTTTGGCCTTATCCTCAGTCATCAGTAGACAAGCGGAGGCGCCGTCCGTCAAAAAGCTGGCGTTGGCTGCGGTGACCGTACCGTAGGGTTTGACAAAAGCCGGCCTCAGTTTGGCCATCTGTTCGGGCGTACCCACGCGTATGCCGTTATCCCTGTCCACCAGTCCCTTCTTGGGCACCGTTATGGGTTCCAAGTCTGATAGGAGTCCCTCTTTGAAGGCTTTGTCGGCGTATGTATGCGAGCGGAGGGCGTAGTCGTCCTGTTCCTGACGGGACACCTGGAAAGAGGCGGCCAATCGGTCGCCCGAGTGACCCATGACCTCATTGGTAGTGAACTCGGCCACTGCCGGCAACTGGTGTGTGTCAGGGGAGAGAGAGGACAGGCATTCAGTTTATGGTTAGGTGTAGTTGCGGTGATAAAGCCGTACATACAGTGATTGTATTGATTTGTGTAAAATTAATTAATTTTCGTGCAGTTAAACATACGATTAGTGTCTGAAATGGTTTATAATACTACTCATTATAACATGTATTACACTAAACACTTAAAACATACTAAACTCTAATACAAATACCACAAAAACTACCGGTGCCTACACCTTTTTATCAAACCCATACACCACTGTACGTACGGCTAAATCCCATCAAAATGCACACATACTTCGGGCACAAAATAGTCGGGCCGTAACTGCAATAACATCGACAGGCGCTGCGACGTACTCTTAGCCTTATTGAGACTCAACAGCCATTTCCTCATTTTGCGGGAATGCCTAATCGGGACGTCACTCATGGTCTCCACACCACCGGCCACTGCCGTCTCGCACAGACCGCTATTAATATAGCCGATGGCTGTAGTGATGGCCTGATTGCTGGAAATGCACGCCTGGGTGACGGTGTGGGCCGGTGTGGACAGGGATAGCCCTGCCGATAGGACTGCCTC